TGTGAGGATAGGCAGGAGGCTTTTTGCAGGCAGGTGGGGCTGGGGCAGGAGTGGCTCTGTCGTCCTGCCCCACTGTTGGCCTGAGATAGCATATTAGAGTCTCCATCAACTGAGCACCCCAACCACAAGCCCACACCATGCGTGGGACCCTGTCCTCAGCAAAAGAACTGAGGCTGCAATCCACCCAGAGGGTGACACATCTGTTCAGGGCACAAAAGCCAACACGGGTGGACCTGGCTGTGGCTGAACAGAGTCTTCCAGATCCTGTCTCTGTCCACAGTCTTCACCCACATGACATGCTTCGAACAACTACCACTGCCTCTCTGACATCCCCAGACATTGCTTCTTCCCCCTGCAAAGCTCCCGGCACGCTATCTCCTAGTCAGATGGGCAAGAGCTCTTGACCTCCAGTTTTTGCTGATAAATAAAGTACTGGAAAAAAAAAGGCCTCATGTGAGGCTTGGGAGGGCTGCAGGTGGGGGTAGAGGAAGGAGCAGCATGGTCGCACTTGTAATCTCCTCGTGCTCATGTCTGGCATTTGTCAGGCAGTTTGGCACACCGATAGTGAGGTGACAAATGGGGAACTAGGAGGGGCCTGGGCACAAGCATCCACCTGTCCCTGCTGCCGGTCTAGCAATGTGCGCCTTCTCACTGACACGCACCCTCCTGCTCTGACCCCTGCCCCTATCTCAGAGATAAGGGTTATCTCTGCCTGCTTCAGCTCATGGTGCTGGGGTGGGCAAGGAAGTAGGGAGCCCTGGCTCCCTGCCCTGAGCTGCTGCCCAACCACCATATGCAGTGGGGATATGAGATCAACTGTGTCCTCTGGAGAGCCTCTCCTCCCTGCTCTTCAGGGCACGGGGCTCCTCATATGTCCCTGGAAACAGGACCTGTCCCCTCTCCATCAGAGGCAGCATCCAAACTGGGTTTTCCCTGAGGAATTGCAATGCTGCACGGTCTACAACTGGGCTGGGTGGGAGCTGCTAACCACGCCTGCAGGCAAGTGTGGACATCTTTTCTCCAGAAAAATGACACCAAGCGAGGGGAACTTGTGAGTCTGCAAGACTCCTGCTGGGCTGGCATTTCATAAGCATGCACTGAGAACTGGTGCCAAAGCCAGGAGCCCAAGGGACCTTCAGGACACAGCAGCAGCCCGGAGCATGACAGGAATGTGCTGCATCTTGCTGCTTGATACCACGGGTCTGTGCCGGGTGGGAAATGCTGCCCTTATCTGTCCTGCTCTCACCCAGCCCGGGGCTGACCGTATTTGTTTCAGGATCCCATGTCTCTACTGTAATCTCAGGCAGAATGGTGTTCGCTCGGGACTGCTTCTAATGCACTGGGTATTGTCCTCTCAAGCGTATTGGACAAAGTGATGACAAGGACCTGGTAAAAAAAGGTTCTTATATCACTGCTCAGCTATGTAGGGCACTGGCGGCCTCCTGTCACTGGGACGTTAGGGCTTTCAGTTGGGGTCTGGCACTTTCTGCTCACCCTGCCGGAGGTGATTAGAGGAACACGTCAGCTGAACTTTCCACTATATAAACAGTTGAGATTCCAAGGTTGAAGTAAAACGTTTTTAAACCCTGTCATCTTTCTGGTATTGCAAAAACAAAAGTCTTAACGTTCAGAAGTGCCAGTGCTCATCTCTGCTCTGTGTTCAGCCCTTCACCCCAAACCGTGAGCACTATAAGGGGCCTCTGACTCTGAAAATCAGTTGGAAGAGCCTTGAGCCTCAGGCTTTCTTCTGCAGAAACCTGAGGACTGGGAATGTGTTCCTGGTGCAGTTGCACCACCTCCTTCTCGTGGCACCCAACAGTACCAAGTAACTTCATGTTTGACCCTAATATGTTGTGTGTTTCACTGTAAATGGGATAAAACTGGCTTGCAGGACACATTTTTTCCCCAGCAGTGTGATAGAAGGGCATTGAGAAAGGTAGAAATTCAAAATTGAGCAAATTATTTTAAGTCAGACTTTTTTTTTTTAACTTTTTTTTTCCTGTAAATCTGTTTACCACAAACTCCTGACAAGGCAGCTGGAGAGAAACTCTGTTCAAACTTCAAGCACACTTGCCCAGCCTCCAAGCCTCAGCTCCAGTGGATAAAGTCATGCTCAACCTGCCTCAAATGTTTATAAAGGGGGGGGGATTTTTTGAAACTTTTTTTCCACTGTTCTTTCCTTCGATAAGTGGCTGGGGAGATTTTATTTGAACTCTCCTTAAAAATTCCTCTTCAGGCAGAGTCCTGGAACATTTCACCTTCAAAGACAAGAGCTGTGAAATGCTGGAAACGGAGCGGCTCAAGGACCAGACTGGAGAAACTGCCATACATACGCTGCGTGCACTTCACATCAAGAAAGCCAAGAGCAGGAACAATTGTGGGGCAGGACAGAGTGGTGTCTGAGCCTGGAATGTTTCATGTCATTTATGCTGGTTTCTGAGATGAAACGAAAGTCAAAGTGCTTCCTGTTTCAATTCCCATTTTCAGCATCACTCCTGTCATTCAAAGGCCCTTCCTGTCCCAAAGCCCTGCCACTGTCCCCAGCTTGCTCTGAGGCCCAGAACAGACACTTAACATGGGATTATGCCAGTGGAAATAATCCCATGAATTGAGGAACCAGGAGCAACAGAACACGTGGTTTCCAGGGGGCAGAGCACCTCTCAGTGCCTCACCAGAGACCCGAAGACCGATTTGGACATGCAAAGAAGGCCCCAAGCTTCAAAAATAGGGGCTATTGTCCTGGTACTGCAGGACTCTGCTGGCTTTCCTGCTCCTTTCTCTGCTTTTGGACCTCCCCGTCCTGGCACTGAGCCTTGGTGAAATCTGAGTCACTTTTTTGCTTTGTATTGGCTCTCCCACCAGCCTCCCTGCAGCAGCACAGGGGAAATAGTTGTGGAGGATTCTGCCTCCGTTCTCTGGCTGGGGAGTAGGTGATGAAGGAAAACCAAGCTTAGGCGTGTCAAGTGCTGGGTACTGGTAGGCAGGACTGTACCCTGCTTTGGGGTGCAGGCTGCTCCTTGTATTCCCCAGCACTTGAGCACCCCAAGGATCCTTCTCCATCCAACAATGCAGCATCCTGCTTTGTAGGGCCTTGCATACCACTAGCATAAGTGGGAAAATAAAAAGAGAACTGCAGCCTTGCTGAACTGGAGCCGCTTCACCCCCACCTATTCGGATGTAAAAGTTTGGCAGGGCACAAGTGGGAGAATCCAGACTGGCCTCACAACGACACATGTGCATTCAGGTCCTCTCCCACGTGAGGCAGGAAAGAATGTCCTGTCTCCAGCAGTATCATTTACACGCTGAAAGCCTTGGGGAGGGAAGGGGTTTAAGAAGGGAGGTTCTTTCTGAGAAGACATGGCTGAGCAATTGTGCATGTTTCAGTGGTCATTGCTCTAAGATGAGAGATCTCTTTCCATACCTCTGGATAAGATAGCACAGGCTGTGCTGGACTGGGCTACTTACTCTGAAAATAATAAAACTGAAGCAATAAATGCAGCTCTTAAGTCCAGGCTGGTCACTTCCTGCAGTCACTGCAGTACATCCTCATAACCTTGCTAGACCCTGCTCTGTGCCATGCACACAACACAACACGCACGTTCACTTCCACTACCTTTTATGGCCTCTTTCACAGCTGAGTCGACAGGAATAATATTCTTCTCCACCAGCTCCAAAGGACCCGGCCTGAGAGCAATCTTTTCATTGAGATCATCTGCCAGTCGGGCTCTTTTCAGCTTCATTTGAGTAGACTGAATGGACCCCTCTGCAGCTGAGTCTAAAAGGCCAAAGGAAAGGCATCAGTTCAGGACCTGGGTCATCTGTAAGCACAGTGCTCAGAGAAATGTGCTTCCCCTTCAGCACAGCCTTTCTGGGCTGTGGCCAAAACCTAAGCATGGCTCAGTGCACAGCAGGAGTTGCTCTGAGACTGGGAGGCAAGATGCTGGACTGGATGGGGCTGATGGGGTTTGGGACATGGGTCCTCCTCTGAGCCTTAGGTCCAGCTTCTGTGTTCGCAAGCAAGATCCTCTGTCTACTAGCCTAGGCTTGCAAATCCAGCCTGCAGCTGGAACATCTTCCCCAAGGCTCAAATATGATCTGCAATGGAAACATCATTAACAAGCTGCAACTAACACAAAGGCCAAAGTGGACTCCAGCTCCTGCCTGCCAGAAGCCCATTGGCCCTTGTGGGCTAATGCAGATGGATCCCTACTTCTGGGGAACAGCTGGAGAAAAGAATCATGAACAGTGTTTGACAACTGGAGTAAATGGCTGACACCGGAGGATCAAAAGCTGAGCCTTTGGGAGTGGACATTTAGAGGTGGTGTGACTACGGCATTCCAGGCCTTCAGGGGAAAAAAAAAGCTGGAGAGGAGCACAACAAAGGCAACTAGATCTGGAAGCTACAGCCCTACCAAACCCAGCTGAGAAGTCCCCAGTTATTGAGTGGTGATAGAAGACTAGCCAATTAAACAGAAAGTTTTCCTCAACAAAGGTGATCTGGCTTCTCTGGTGTCATAGGTCTGAGTAGTGAGGGAGTGGGATTCTAAACTAGACCATGTCTATACCCTCGGGGGTCTAAAATAAGAAAGGCTGCATCTAGGTTGTGCTATATTCAAAGACTGGACATTCTTCTAGAAGAGACACTGTAGGCAACACAAGCTACAGGGCTTGATACCAGGAAATTTCTCTGCAGGAGGTCAGGAGAGCTGATCTAGGGTCACTTCTGGGCTCAGACTATATAGGGCAGTGAACACACATGAGCTCCTTGAGGTGAACAGTAACAGAAGGTGTGCTTGTAAGGCATTTAGATGATGCAAGGTGTCTTAGCTGGCCAGTTTCAATCACCTCTAGGTGCTGTTATGAACAAAATGGACACCCAAGTCCATGATATGCCAGGGCACACCTCCATGAACTGCAGAGCATGATGGACAGAGGTGTGAGCAGAGGCTCCAGCTAAGAGGTGTGTGGGGCAGCACAGCCAGCTTGCTCAATACACAGCCAGGCAGCCTCTGCTCCACCTCTCCTCGGGCTGTGTCTGGTTGGCCCTGTCCATGCCTGGTGACTCCAGCTGCCTCCACATCTGGTTTATAGGGCCCAGGCTCAAACTCCAGTCCATATTGCTTCTATTATTTAACCTAAGGGAAGGACACTTTCCACCTGTTAAACAAGCAATGGTGCTAGCCCATTTTAGGGATGGACACCCAAGGGAAAAGCAAGGCAGCGACACTGATCCAGCATGGGACCCTATCTCAGCACTCCTGCATGCTGGAGGAAAAAGAAATACAGAATTCATCCATACTGAGAGCAGAGGCCAGCATTTACATTTGCCAGAAAGTGATCTGCTTCTTCCAGGCGACTGACAGGACTCGAGGAGAGAGACTGCACATCCTTCCTGTCTCTAAGGAGCTGGTTATCTCTGGAGATAATGAGAGACACTGCAGTGTTCTGCTGTCTGTGATGGGATGCAGTGGAGCCGTTCCAGCTCTCTGGCTGGGAGGGGACACCAGGATGGGAGTGGGGAGAGCTGCTGTGGCTCATGGAATGATAGCAGGGTTCACCCTTTTCATACGGGTGTGCTTGGGTCATTGACCGCATCACCATGAGTTGCCACATAGAATATCCAGACTTCTGGCAAAACAAAAGATGTACAGCTTTGGGAGGGTATTGCAACCACCTGCTACAGGGATTTCAGTGTCCTGGACAACAAATGCCCTGGGTATGCTTTTCATGAGGATCAGACTTCGGCACCTCTGTCTAACAGAGTCCTCTTTCACAGTTGTTCTCTACCCCACTGTCCTCTAGAGCATCTTATACTGGTCCCCGGCAGAGATGGGAGAAGGATTAGATGGTCTTAAGTCTGCTTCTGCCAGGGAATAACCGTGTGTCCTGTCTCCTGAAGACCAGGTCTGGACTGAATTCCATACAACACGTGTCCCATTTGAATCTGCCTCTCATGAGCAGCTGAGACAAAGTTAATCATGATGAGAGTCCTGAAGGGAACCCACGTAGGGCAGGAGAGACATAAGTCACAAGGCAGGAGACACAAGGAGTGTGGGGGAGAAACTCAGGCAGTCTTACCTTGTAAAATGTGCATATTGACCAGGTCTGATCGCTCAGGCCTACTTCTGATCTTGTGCTTGAGATAATCTTCAGTCTGCAGAACACAAACACAGAGAGTTACCTGGCTAGAGAAGCAATAAGATACAGAAAGCATCTGCCCCTGTGCCATCCCATGGTTCTTTTGGATTTATTACAAGCTGGGTTGAGTGAGCTCCTAAATGACGTTATTTTTTCAATCAAACACCAGCTTGTTCTTGGGCAGAAGTTCTTCAGAAATAGAACAATGTGCACGGAGCTGCTGACTGTTCGCTATACCCATTCGTAAGCTGTGTCCTTTCCAATTTCCCTTAGGCTTCTGATGCCTGAAGTATTATGACAACTCATGGGAAGGATGAGACCTGTTCACAGGGAGTGGTGGATCTGCTCCTAGCTTAGCATACCATGTTGCCTTTGAGAATTGCACCAAAGTAGCTCCAGATTGTACTGTTAGCAATGGCTTCTGTGGGAAGCCTGGTGCTCTGGGTTGAGATATGAGGCTGAGCAAGTCATGAAGACACCCAGACTCTCTACCCAGGTTATCAGTCCTGCAGTTCCGGTGCTCTGTGGTTCCTCACCCCAGCTGTGACATTGGGAAAATCCACTTTGCAGATCACTACAGCTGAGCTTGTGATGAACACAGTCCTGGAGCCTTGTGCCAACTTCCTCATGGTTTTAGGAACAGAAAGGGACACAGATGTACAATAATGCCATCCATTAGGGCCAAGGAAGTCAATGTTGAGGGTAGCTGGCCTGAAGAATACAAATATAAGCTTGTCTCCAGGTGAAGAAAAGCTAGAGCACAATTTGGCCAAATTACTAGCTGTTTGCTAAGTTGAGATGCAAGAAGAAATAGTACAAAAAATATGCATAGTTCAAAGAGGTTAAAATCTTAAGGATAAATATAAAACCATAGTACAAGCAGTTGGAGCAAAACTGGAAAACCCACAGTACAAAATGTGCAGGATCATGAGAAAAAGATTTTATAAGGACTTCTGTAGCCAGGACAAGGCAATGGAAAGTGCTATCTGTGTTCCATAAACAGGAGAAATAATTGTGCGTACTGCTGAGATGGTTACAGGATTTAATGCCTTTTTAAACCATCCTCACTAAAAAGATAAATGGATATTTATCAATCAAATAAGTAAGCCAAGGACCTTCAGCAATGAAGGAGAAGAAGCTCCAGTTATCAGTTTGGAGAATAGCTTGGAGAATACTCAGATGAGTTAAATAGTTTGAGACACACAAGGCTAGAGTAATAGCAACTGTCTGTGGATCTCCAGGAAACTGGGCGAGGGAGAACATAATTTCTTGCTTTAAAAGAGTTGGAGAAAAGAAACCAGGAAATTATAAACCCATCAGCAAGATATTGGATCAAGTAATTAAACAATCTATATAAATGGATTTTGAAGATAGCAAGGAGGTGAGTAACAGCCAGGATGGATTCATCGAGAACAAACCACATCGCACCAACCTAAATCCCTTCTATGGAGAGATGACAGATTTCTGTTACAGGAATAAACAATAAATGTCATGTAGCTTGACTTTAAGCATGTTTTGACATTATCTCACATGACTTTCTCATATGCAAGCCAGAGAAATTTGGTCTGGATAAGACTAACATAAAAAAGGAGCATAGCTGTGGGTCACCAGAAGAATTAGGAATGGCTCACAGTCTAAACAGAAGAATATATCAAATCATGTTACACAGCAATTTTTCCTACTAGTCAATATATTCATTAATGCCATAGATGGTAGAAGACATACTCCTTGACTCTGAATCATTCAAGGCTAACAGATTAAAATGCAATTAAATCTGGAGTAATTGAAGAAATGATCTGAAATACATTTGATACAATTTCAAGAAGGACATTTGGAAAGGACTGCATTCAGGTCACAGTGAGCCACAGCTAAACCAGCTGATTAAGCACTGGGGTGAATGAAGACTTAATGCACCAGAGTTGCTTCTGTACTGATCACTGGACTGTTTTCTGCCTTAGGCAGAAATTAGTTACTCCATAAGTAGAGAAAAAAATATAAAAGGCTCTGAAGAATCTACTGATCAGCAGCTAAACCACATCACCAGACCTGCAGGCAACTCCCTAGGAGATCCAATGAAGGGTGTCAGATGGATCCTAGGAATAGCAAGGCCCCCTTCTGTGCCCTGCATCTGAAAATGTCTATAGGAAGGGTCTGGATGACAGCTACAGAAATCGTTATTGAGCCAGAGATGGGATCAATGAGGAGAGGCTGAAGGTGGGGGAGGTTGGTCAGTCCAGAAGTGAGACGGCTATAAGGAAACAGGATGCAAAATACTTTTTAGAAGTGCTACAAGAGAAAAGGTAAAGAATTCTGCATGTGCATGCATATAGGAGAAAAAGTAATGGGCTTAAACTTCAACAGAACAGCTTGGGCTGGCAATCGGAGGACACTTGCTAACAGCACAGGTTAGAGAGCACTGGAGCAGGTTGCTGGGGGGGTGGGATGTCCATTGGTGGTCACATATCTGTCAGGAATGACCCAGATGGGGCTGTTCTGCTCTGGGGCAGAGGCACGACAGCTGTCCCCTACAGTCCCTCCCTGCCATGCTTGCTGGGATGCTGGGAGTGAGTGCTAAAGCCCTGCTGAGCCAGACTGCCTCAGGAAAATCAGCCTGCTCTCTGTCCTCCAACCCAGCAATCTATTATAGGACATTGACTTCAAAGTGTGCTGTGCTGGCCTGATGCCAGCCTCTAACATAGCCAGTGACATGTTTAAACAAAAAATAGACATTTTATTTACTGAAGTCTTTACAATTCCTTACCCTTCCCCCCATATTTTTTCCCCAGCTTATTTTCACCAATGCAATCCCTTTCTTGGACCATGTGTAGGTTTGCCTGCTTCCTGTGCCAGATCAGAGCAAGCTGGTGTCTGCACCTGAGTGCAATTAAATTCACCTAATGCATTTCCAGCTAATCCTCAGATCAGGTTCTGACTTGGGCTAAGCTTACATTGCTGTCCTACAGATGTGGCATTGTTCATGTTGAACCCAGCATTCACACTGCGTTAGTCTGACTTTCTGCTGTGATTTCAGTTCCTTTTGACCTTTGCTGTTTATAAGCTGTGTTTGTGTCACTGGGGTGCAAATGGTGGAGAAAGACTTCAGATGTGGGTTTTTTTTTTAGCATCAGCTGAAGCAGAAGAGCTTTCAAAACACATGAAAGTGGTTGTTGTTATCTGCTTTCTGTTTGCAGAACATCAGTTTGGAGGAATATCAGCTAAACAACAAATGCCATTGAGTAATTATCTGGAAACAGCTGCTGCTCCTTCCCTGTCAGAGCTCTAAGGAGGGCATCCTTGCAAAGAAGTATATGTTTGTTATGAGCTGTGCTCATTAGTGTCTTCATTAGCATGCTCTAAAAATGCGTGCAGTTTGGGATAGACTGGACCATCCTTCCCTTTTCCCCAGGCAACTAGCCAGTGAAAGCTTTTGAAGAGAAAGACAAAGAGACAGAAATGTATACTTAAACCATAAAATATATGACACTTCAAGGATACTTTGGATTGCTTGAAATTTTGTAAGCGTACTAATTTTTCAGAGTCATATTGTGTTTCTTATGCTAGCCATTTATTACTGCAGGAGACTCAGGGCAAGTGATTTGGAGCGTGTTTAACCTCAGAAGAGCACTTCTCTGTATTTCACAATCATTCTTCCTTGCAAAGATCCTTTTCCATGTGACTGCAAGCACGTTTTGTGGATTAATGTAACACACTCTTGGGCTGAGGCAAAACCTGCATGACTGATTGTTCCCTTTTCCATGGACATCCCTACAGCTTGGTCAAGGCTGGATGGTGGGTGCTTCGAAAACCAGTGTGATTTCCCAAAAAGTGATCGCATCACAGAGTTTCGATGTGTTCTGGAAATGGCTGCTTATCTTATCTCTGCCTTCAGCAATATTTAGGGAAACCTGAGTGCAGTTAGATAATGGGGCTGGTGGGAGCCTGGCCCACTTAGCCCCTTGGACGCTACACGTTGTAATGGCCAAGCTGCACTGCAGAGCTAAAAGCCAACCTCCTGTCTGATGACAAGTGTGAGCTCCCTGGGGACTCACTCCAGGTGACAAAGGGCATCTGCATTCCTCCTACACACTTGCTAAATAGTTAGGCTCCTTCAATCTTGTTTGCTGCTGACCCTGCTCTAACCCCACTGGCTTGAGCAGGAGTGGAGAGCAGCCAGCACAGTGAGGAGTGGGCTGTGGACCTGGCCTGGAGAGAAAAATGGCACTTCAATTGGTTGGACATTTACTGGAAGGACTGCCAGTGCCATGCTGACCTACACCCTGCCCACAGCCTCTTGTGAAACCCAGGTGCTCTTGTAAAACCCCATAGGTCAAGGCACGGATGGTCCCTCTGCCCTTTTAAACCTTCCGTGCTTTGAGAAGGGTGCTCCAGAGCATTTGTGAACCCTGGCTTGGCCCCACCATGTCTGGAAGCAGGGTAGGTGCCCTGACCCTCATCCTTGGCCACAGGGCCTGAATGGAGGATGCCAGAGGAGGGGACAGTGGTGGAAGGTGCTTTCAAACTCCGCAACACATGCAAAGCGAGCCCACGTGTTGCCTCATTGGGATGGCTGCAGGAGTTACCTTGGCTCGCTCCAGACTTTTTCGCTGTTCATGGAATGCAGATGGGCTTTTCAGTGCTGCAACAGGAAAGAAAGAGGAGTAGTCAGCACAGGAGCGGAAGCAAGCAGCCACCAGGATATTCAGCAACAGCATTTTAATAAGTGCTATAAAAATAGCAACACAAACTAGCCGTTCTCTTTATTGCACTGACTAAAAATAACTCAGGAAAGCTCTGGGAAATCCCATGGTCTCAGTCAGTCCATGGCAGGAGAGCAGGGGGAATGGAGAGCATGGGGAGTGCAGGAGGCACATGGGCAGGGAGGGGGTGCAGGCTTTGAAACGTAGTGCTCTGTGGGACATGTCAGAGAGCAGATGTGACTTTTGCCTGGAGTGTTTCCTGCAGGTCGTGGAAGGCACCACAGCCCCAGAAGACAGATCTGGGAAGAGCAACAAACTGAGAAGGGACCTCACCTGTGAGTAAAACCTGTAGGTGACTGAGGTTTGAGACCAGCAGGAAAACGGAAAAGACCTTTCTTGCCTCTTGGGGTCATGTGGGCACAGCCTTCAGTGAGGGTATTTCAAGACAAGGCCCTGCAACTGTGGTCCTTATCCCTCTTCCATCACTGACTACCCCTCCATCTCTCACTGGACATTTATTTGTCCTGTCCCTTGCCCAGAAGCATTTGTGTGACATGGGGTTTCCTTGGGCAGGCAGCTGCCCGGCCAGGTACCAAGCAGCAGACTATGCCCTCAGCATCTCCTGACACCAAGGAGGATTAACTCAGAGGGGCTCCCCAAAAAAGGCCAATGATCCCTGGCTCTTGGACCAGTGAACACCAGTCCCATGAAGCAGTCTATACTGGAATCATGGAGAACCTTGCACATTTTCTTGTTTGGTTCAGTAGAAATAGGAGCAGAATTTGCATGGTGAAGGAGTTAATATTTCTCAGATCCTGCAAAAATTCTTTTCTGTCTGTGTAAACAGGCAAAATTAACTGTTCCCATTGGGACAGGGAAAGGGAAGGTGTCATGACCCACAAAACCAGTCTGCTACAACTCTTTGTTTGGCAACAGGAATTCCCTTTCTGTCTTCTGAATGGGATCCAATAAGGACAGAGATTATTTTCACACAAGACATGTTATCCTCCATCAATCTAGAGGATGATGAAGAAAAGATTGGGAGTAGACGGGAAATGTTTGGGGGCCCTCTGAATTGGCTTTCGGTAAGCAACACCCAGGGCAACCCCCATAACTTCCAGCGAATCACAGTAAAACACAGGAGGCAAAAAAAAATTTGGAAAGCGGACATACAGACAAGCTAGCGTTACTGTGCCATGCTCTGGTGAGCAGCCATGAGGACTTGTGATAGCTGGTTTAATCAGAAGCAAGATAAAATGATGCACTTAAAATGAAGTTAACAAGAGACATGATTTTTACAGCCCTGCTTACTGTGAAGTACTGACATTGGGAATGTGCTATGGGCATTGACCAAATGCTGTGCTATTCAAGAGGAAAATGTTGCAGAAATTAGTCATTTACCAAGATTTTTGGAGGAATTATGTGGATGCTGCAGCTTGTATTAGTCTGCAAAACAAATAAAGACATTGCTAGCACTGATCATTCAGACAAATTGTCAGGGGATAACATGTCAGCTTGAAATGGCTGAGGGTCTGGAGGCAACAGGGCAGAGCCGCTGTGCTTGGTGTTGATAATCTTGGGACTATTGCCTTTAAGGTTTCAGTTAGAGGATGAGATGGTGGCTGCGTACAGCAAGAAGGTCGTTACTTCAAACGCAGCTATTTCTGCAGCTCATTGCAGTAGGAGGAACCTTGCCTTAAGGAATCCTTGATCCTGAAAGCTGTTTCCCCCTCCTTTTGGGGAGGCGAGCAGGATCTGGCTGGGGTCCAGGGCAGGCGTCTGTACAGGTCTAGAGAGAGGGTTCATCCATGCTCAGTCCCACAGCCTACCTTTCTGCAAGTGACTCCACATGCTCTTGATTTGAAATGCTTTTACTGGGTCTGTACTAGTTTCACCAGGACAATAAAACTGCATGTGTTGTTGCATGAATTGGAAACTTCCTACTCAGTGAACCTGAAGAATGGGGCAGGGTCTGCTCTGACTTGCACTCCTATGCATCAGGAGCGTGGCTGTGTCTCAATGAACCTGGATTTCCCCTTGATTTCAGAGGATCTTCCATACACAGAGTCACAGTGCTGAAGGAACTCAGAGGCTGCTCTTGCCTATCAGTCTGTGCCTATCTTTATTTACAGAGCCTTTTTCGGTAGTGTTAATTTTTTTGCCAGCCAGTTGTTCAATTTACAACCTGAAAACATCTGACAATCAGAGTCCAGCTTTGAACCTGAAGTCTTGTGCAATTCTACTGCTCCTGAGTATCCTCCTTTAGGCAGTTTCCTGCCTTCTTCAGTGATGGGACCATCTGAAGGTTTCACATTTCTTAGAGGAACATCCAAGGGAGTATGAACAGATCTCAGGTATACAATAGCACTAATCTTTTCCATTCAAACCAAACACAGACTGGGCTTTGGTAAGGGTATCTGTCTCACTGTGCTATACTTGGGTAACACTGTTATTTCTCCCTGTGCTATTCTCTTGGATACCAAAAACCATCCAACTTCCTAGGACTTACTCCAATGTTTCATGCTTACTGTGCTATAGCTGCATTGCTGGACAGCTTAGGAGGCTTTGCGTGTAGTCATCAACTCCTCTTTCTACAAGGGTTTCTACAAACCCTCAAATCTTTTATCCAATGTTATTCTGTTACTCTGACCTTCCATCTCTCTTTCTTGTCTCTGTATAAAAGGGATCAGTTACAAAAACAAAGTTTCTCTGTCCCGGGATTATATCAACAGAAAACATACACAATGAAAGCAATCCTTGTGCAAAATCTGAAGTGCAATGTGGGATCAAGTGCATGCTCCAAGCCTGGCACCAAACCTGACTCTGACCATGGAGACAGGCAGTGCCCATCTTTTCTCCTTCCAGAAGGGCTATTCTCAACTGCTGTGGGTTGCAGCCACATGGGTTCATTTCTTATCCTCCTGCAATGAACTGAGATCCTGTCCCAGTGCACCTCCTAGGGCCCATCTCACCTGCTGGTCCTCAAAGCCAACAGGGCATGGGAAGATATGGTTAAACAGAGACTTGTTTTTCATAAGGAACAACTGCACCTTCCCAAGCCATGGGAAAGCTGGCTGGGCCTCCCACGTATTAAATGCTAATGTCTGATACTTCCTCCTGAGGTGAAATTCAGCAGTTAAATTCTGCATGTTTGTTTTTATAATGGTAAAAGTGCCTTTTCTTCTATTACTCCAGTGAGTGAACTGTGATCAAGCTTCCCAAAATGGCCTTCTTGGCCAGAAACCAGACTGCAAAATGTTAACCTAGAAGTTGGGAGTGCGAAGAAACCATAAGTAACAGGAAAATACCCTTCAGTTGCCATCAAATAAATTTGGCTTAATATGTGGTCTGCAATGTGTAAGGTATAAATGTTAGGGCTCATTTGTAAAAGTGCAGTCCTGTGCACTCAGCCTTGCAGAGCAGCATCAAGTATGCAAATCTCTCAGTTGACACTACTGCTCCATACGTGTGCAATAGGGTCTCCTGCACCTTATCTAAGTGTGCCCACTTTTATAGAGTGGACTTAGCAGTTCAGGAGATGTTAGACTATTTTTGGCCACTGACTGTATTGCCAGTACTTGCAATACTATAACAAATGTCACATTATTTTGCTTAAAGCTTCAACTCCTGGAGTCCTGTGATTGAAGTGCTTGCCCTTTGGTGGCAGGCAACATAAAATCTGAATGCTTAAAGAAATATACAGAAGAAAAATGGGAAGAACATGCATTTATCAGTCTTAAAACGGTGTGATCATTTTGACAGTCATGATTTTTGTCATCCTGCTCAACTTTTCTTGATGCTTGATGCTGGCAATACTGTACTGAGAAGGTGCCTGTTGCTGGCCATCTTGACACAATCCTTTAGTAAGGCAGCTGCATGAGAAGGGTAGAGGGATGGGCAGGGTGCAGCAAGCAGTGGTAGAGCCATGCTCTTAGTGAGGAGTTGTTCTGCTGTTTAGACAAGAGCTGCATCCCAGTCTTCAAGGTCAGCCAGAAGAGACAAAAGTGTCACAGCCTTTGGAAAGTTGTGGTCTTAGCAGTGAACCCAAGGGATCCTTGATGAGACAGAAAGGATAATCCTCTACCTGGGTCCCAGATAATCACAGATTCATGCACATGGAGCTTCAGCTAGGTCAGGATAGAGTTATCTATCGAGCATGGCTGAGCTCCCAACATCATTTCTTTGGTAGTGCTACAGGTTTCATGATGCATTTGCAGGTGCAGAAGGGCCTCATTTTCAGTCACTTACTTTTTAGGCTTTAGCAACAGGCTTTCTGATGCTGAATGTTTACATGATAATGCTGGCCTGGAGCTTGTCCTTCGGGCTTGAATGCCAGGTTAGCAAGGATGAACGTGATCAGAGAGGGGAAAGTACAGACGTCACTTGTCAGTCTGCAGCAAGCAGGCCCAGGTAGGGTTTCTTTGTCCTCAAGTGTACATTGCCAGTTTTGCCCTGTGGGGTCCTGGCTGGGCACAGGCACAGATCTGGATATGTCTCACTCACCTAGGGGCTACCTCTCCACACTGGGACCAAGGCAGTTACCCACCGCTTCCTTCTACAACAGCCTCCTGGAATGGACCCTCTCTACCTCTTCCTTGTTCTGTGAGTCTGATCCTGCCACGGAGGTTCCTGGCTTTTACAGGAGGACATGAGATTCTCTGCCCTTGCCTACATGAAGAGCTTTGTGAGTTGGATATGCTTGTCCTGCTACAGTAACCTCTGGGACAGGGAGCTATGCAGCTGAATTTTTGGGTGGTGTAAGCTAAACATCTCTCCTGACTTCAGTTTGAGCAGTGGAATTATAATCTGTGTGGCAAATGCTGGGCACCGTTGTACAGTACCAGGGACCACAGTATTTCCACAGGGCAGGAAGCAAAGTCCCCTCTGGTAGCAATCTGCTCAGGGTTGAGTGGGTCTGAGTAGGCAGCTGGTGTCACACTGTACCCCAGCAGTCCCCAAGATGAACACAGCCCCTCTGAGCCAGGAATGGGTAGAAAAGGCAGAAAAAAATACTCACGTGGCATGATGCCTTGGTCAGCCAGCTGCTCACGGGTCCTTCTCTGCTGGAGCCGTAGCTGTAAAACTGTGTGAGAGAGAGAGTGTCAGGAAAAGATGCAGGATTTTACTGAGGTACTAGTACATCTATCAGGGACAATGTGTCAGGGGATCTGTGTGTGACACAGAGGTCTGGCACTGATCCCTGCTGCTGCTGGACCAGCCTTGGTGCAGCAGAGTGCTCCAAGACAAGGGGAACTGCCAGGGAGGAGCTGTGTAGCTTGCACCACCCCAATCCTCACTTTTGCAGACAAATGAGCAGGGCAGGGGCTGCTTCTGGTGCAGGTAGTACCGTGGTGCTTGGGACAGACTGACCCCTGCTTAGCACTTGTAACAGCAGCCTCAGGTGAGCATGACTTCAGCTCAGATAGTTGCTCAAATCAGAACTCTGAAGCTAGGAGGTCCTCCTTCACCCCAGCATTGTGGATTGAGTAGAGCTTTCCAACTCCACTTCTGAGGGCCTCGCAGCACATTTCCAGCCCTGCAAGGCTTGGCAGTAGATGCAGGTATGCTTACTGTACCGAGGGGGACGTAGCTAATGTGGTGAGGAGAGATTAGTGACATCTCTGTATGAACCCACTGTTCCAAGGACCTACAATCTCCAGTATAACTTATTTTTTGAAATAATGCACTGTCGGATGGGAATGAACCACTGATCAGGGTCGCTAAATGACTTAGTGGCATGACCTAGGCTACAGAGCATCAATTAGGCATGTAACAAAGAAGTACCTCTCAATATTTACAGCATGTAATGGTAGCCCACCATACACCTGCAGCATGACGCAGGACTGCACAGGTTAGTTCATCCCATCACTCAGGTAATACTGCCTCTAGTTTGAGTTAGTAACATATTCTACACCTTTGTTTTTGCAAATTCGTCTTCAAGAAGGTAGACACTTGTATCACAAGGTAAAACATAAAACTCACTTCCATATTTTCCAGCTGGAAACTCAGCACAGCTTGCCACGAGGTCATATATCTTTCAGCAGTCACAATATAACTGCACGCATATCCCCTGCCTACCAGCACAGCCCCAGACAGCATCCCTTAGCTGCCTGGAGAGAGGCAGTATTAGAAGGGGAAGAGAAAGAACAGCTTTTTTGTCCCCTGGAGCAACCTATTGATCTCTGCCAACAGCTTATGTCTACAATACAGCTTCCCTGGGATGTGGGATGGAGTTAGATAATAATCCCTTCCAGAGCAGTCCCCAAAGCACAAGGCTCCCTGAGATGCCCTTGCTTGTGACTTTTCCATGTCCGCTGTACAAACCATGTCTCACATTCAGAGCAAATGTTTAGTGAAGGTCTCACATAGGACAATGATCTCCTGCCAAATTCCAGCACTTCTTAGGACACCAAAGATTCTTGCTGTGAGGAAAAAACATAGCCTTCAGTATCTGATAAAGTCTGCATGTGTTCTGTTCCCCTTATGCCAGGGTGAAGTTGATGGCTAGAAGTCACTGGCAAACCTTGCTGCCATGGAAGTCTGTATCCCACCATTGTCCCATGGCACCACCCCCAGTCAGTGCTGGTTTTGCCCATGGACACGGATTTAGACCCTTGCACTCTAGATACCTACATCAGACCCAGTTATGTGCATCCCCTTCGCAGGAGACATCACCCTCAGGGCACCTCAAAACCAAATTAGACAGTTCATGCTTTAGGAATGCCTGTCTTTCCTTCTTGACTATAGAGGCAGTTTAATTGGTAACCAGTTTGTGGTAGGTATCTTACACAGGGTAAAGTGGACCCCAGTTTCTTTGTGTAGAACTTTCTCTGTGACTGGTCACAATATTGAGGAACCATGCAGAGCTTTATACTTTCCCCAAGGAAGAAATGTATCTTTATGGAATAGGTGAGCTAAGGGAGGTCGGAGACCATCCAAGAATAAAGAAGATTTGTAGCTTACCCAGGAATGGTTCTCTACTCTTCTAGGTCCTGGTCCAGTGTCCCAGGCATTAGAGCATCTTGCCTTAAACTGAGGCAATTTACATACAACATCCCATCATCAAACGGGAATCAAGGACAGCAAAGACTTCTAGAGTTGCATACAACACCCTGCCAAGGACACAGCAGTCTGCCCCATCTAGCTGTAAAATGTCCCAAGCGAGGATGTTCCATCACTTCCCTTCACAGCTCACCCATGTGCTAAATTATTTGCACCATTTCACTCCAACTTCTGACACGGCCAGACCAAGTGATATACCACATCCACATGAGCAAGGGGGATGCTACCAATCAGATGACCGTGCATTCAAAGTCCACATTCTCTGCTTCTTGTGCTTATTTCATAGCCCTTCCTAGCAGACAAATAATTTGACAGCCTCAGGGTGCAGTCAACTGTCAGCCAGGCCTGTTTACAGAAAAAGGAGATGTTACAAATTCCCTTGAAGCATAGCTTGGAAGGTGATGATGATTCCCAGTGTGGTGACTGTAAGATTCAGCATCTGCCTTGATGCAAGAAGTGCTGAAAACTTGTGCAGGTTTGCCTACCATAGCGCTCCCTTTGCTTGGATGCAGGAGCAGCACTCAGGAACCCAGATTTCCCAGATCGTACTGCCTTCCAGCAAACAATGCACAATCCAAGGGACCCTACCCTACTGCAGCTGGTCTGTGCTCCAGCTAACAGCCTCTCTTTTGTCTCCTGCACTAAGCACTGCGGATAGACCATCACAGAGGGGACCTGACATTATTTAATGATAATTTTGTGAAGGGAGAAAAGGTCTCCAAATTGTTTTTCATGCTGACAGGCATAACGGCTGTGACCCAGCAATGACACAAGCTGTTCTGAGCATGAGAGCTAAGCTCTTCCATGGGTGAGTGGCTATGGGCAGGTCACGCAATCTCTCCCAGACTCATGATTCAGCTTGGGCCATGCTGAGCTTACAAACTTCCTGGCCCATTCTTAAGCCACAGGGCAAGGAGGAAAAGTTTATCCAGCCTTGTCTGTTCAGGGCATGCTGACAGAAAATGTGAAGACAGCCATGTGCAAATGCTGACCATTTCCAGGAGCAGCCCAAACTCGATGGTTGAAACAGTTATTTCAGCCGCTGAATATTCATCCAGATCTGGACCTCCTCATGCAGTAGGATGCATGTCTCGACTCCCAAATGTCATCTCTATGAGCTTCCAAAACCTGTTGCAAACCATCTGAAGAAACATAACTGTGGACAATGTCAGACAATAACACTCAGCATCCCTACAGGAAGAGGTAAAGCAGCCACTACTTTTGGCAGCCTCCAAGTCAGCGCTGCAGCTTGCAGCTTGGTGGATGCCAGCTCAAAGCTTGCACCTTTCCTTCACAACATCAATGCTTAAAGACAGGGCTGGAGGAGCCCCTGGCACCATCCAAACAACCACCACTTAGCTGCTTCTTGAAGGGAACTTAAAATATGTTGAAGCTATGTCTGACCCCAGCTGCATTCCTGTCCTCTTCCTTTGCCACGTGTCTGGAGGTCTGAACTCTGAGTGATGCCTGTGACTCACTTTGAGGATGCTGTCACCCTCTGTGTATGAGAATTGTTTTTTTTCCTGAATATTCTTATTTTTCAAGGAAACTGCTTTGCTAACACTTCAGAGCAACATTTATGTTACAAAGGGGGATGGCTGGAGCATTGATAAGACAATCTTGGTCCCACACTCCTAGCATCCTTATTGCCTGCCTGCACCAGTTTGAATGGTGAGAAGTAACCCAAAGGGAGCAGCCATGCACACTTGTCACCCTATGGTACCAAGCTGTGCTGGCACCATCAGTTGCCATCAACTGAGAGAAAGCCTTGCTTTCAGCAACCCTGCTCCCTCCTATGGTACCCCATGATGAGAAATCCCTCCCTAGATCATGCGAGGCATTTCAGACCTATTCCAGTGATCTTGCTCATGAGCTTTTTATCTTAGAAATACTACTCTTTTCTATGCTAGCACTAAGTCCCATTTAGTGGTACAGCTTCCAGAAACATCCTCTGCAGTGAGGATGTGCCATCGGTGCAGAGAAGATATCCTGGTGTCAGTCATAGCTGGCTCTGGTGGCCCAAGCTCTGAGCACTGCCCATGACTCGCAGTCATGAGTCATCCTCCTCCCTAGGAGTTGACCTCAGCTTTAGGAAGCTAAGAGAACAGCTTGGGTCTTGCCTGGCCTGGTGATGCACCGCAAAAGACATGTTCAAATCCTCCTTCCACCTCAGCAGCAGGCAGACCTGGCCTTCTGCTTCAATCTGCAGGGACACTTTGAGTTCAGTGCTCACCAGACGGTCAGGATGGGACTTTTATCACCTGTATCAGAGCATCCCCCAAGCTGGGTCATTGCCAGAGCACTCATAGCACCATTCTCTCTTTGGGGAACTGGTTTTAACAGCACAGGGGGCTAAGGAGCACTAAGGCACATTGCCCAGAGAGGTGGGGGAACTGCCCTTCTCGCAGGGTTCAGCAATAGGGCAGGCAGGCAAAACCATGGCTGACCTGACCTAGTGTTGGTGATGGTCTGTCTCCAAGAGGGAGGCTGGATCAGAGCCTGTCCTTTCCCACCAACACTTAGGTAGCAGTCAGAGCAGGTTCCCTGGAAAGTCCAAGGCTGCACGAGGCTTTCTCAGCATTCAGTTCATCCTTGCAGCTGAGACAAGCTGCCCAGGTGGAGCTGCAGGTCTGTTGCTGCTTCTTGACTTCTGACCTAGCATCTGTCCCTGTCTCTGACAGACCCTCTGGGAGTGGGAGTAAGTGAGGCAGAGTCCCTGCTTCAGCTCTTCCCAGCTCTCTTATGTGGTTTCTGGTGAAATCCCAGTAGTTGCTGGTTTCCTCCCTGCTTGGGTTGTGCCAGCACCTTCACTTTGATTAGGAACCACATTCATAACCAGTGCAATCGCTGTGCTCTTGTCTTCCTCTGAAGTAAGTCACTGCTGCTACCAGAACTGATGGTCAGGCAGTTGTCTTCCGCTCCCTGCACTTTGTGCTGCTCCCTGGACCAGCCAGTGCTCCTGGTCTGTGCAGTAAAGGGGACCAGCAGAAGCACCACGTTATGCCAGTTTGACCCAAGTGC